TTCTTTATCTCTTCCAGCTCCTGGTGGCCCCAGGCATTTCTTGGCATATAGCAGCATCCCTCCAACCTCTGCTTCCTCCTTCATCTGCCCATCTTCCCTCTGTGTCTGAAAAATTATGTATTGGACACTTACATCAGCAGAATGAAATTTGAAATGTAAAAGGAACGTTTAAAAAATATTTAAGACTATCGTATCTTGGAAGAGAAAAAATAATATTTTAAACACAGGACACCAGTCTTATTGGTTATTCCAACATGACATCATTTTAATTTAGCTAATGACATCTGCAAGGACCCTGTTTCCAAATAAGATAGCATTCATGTGTACTAGGGATTAGGACTCCAGCATTTCCTTTTGGAGGACACAAGTCAGCCCATACAGGAATTTTTTGTGTTACTCTTGCAACTTTGAGTAAACCTGAAATTATATCAAAACAGTTACCAAAATGTATTATCATATAAAAAGTGGTATTTGTTTATTAAAATGCTATTAGGTACCTGTCATTAAAATTTCAGTATTAATGTGTTAGAGAATCATTGCTAAATGAAACAATTGATAAGTATATTTACTGACACTAAATTGTTACATAAAGTAAAACAATATTTACTTTATTTATTCATATGTTACATAATAGGCAGTGAATGAGATTCCTATTGGGGGGAAATGATAATATTTGAGTTCCATTTTCAATACTCCAGGAACATAGTTTAGGACAAATTGGAAGTTGGGTGGCCTCCCAGTTTGAATAATTAGGAAATGCAATTAGGGATTCCAGTAGAAACTAAACAGTCCTCAATTACAGAAAGCATTTGAGAAGTTTCTGTTGATTTTACATATAGAACATTGATTACTTTTATTTCCCTGATGAAAACCAATCACTAGGTGATTGACTTTCCTGAAACCAAGCTGAAGCTTGCTTCAGAGTCTACATTGTACAGATGTTTTTTGTTGTTGTTGAGCTATTTATACTAATACAAGTTTTGATTAATTTGGAATTTCTTCTTTCATTTAGACAAAGGAAAATTACTACCATCAGTATAAAAAATTTGACATCTGGTGATTAGGTGTAGGAATGTAAAACTAGGAAGATATTACACACACACACACAGACACACACACACACACA